AATGGTAATGTTAATCACCAAAACTCTCATTAAGAAAGCAGGTCCTAACATGACAAAGGCAAAGACATTGACGAGTTGTTAGTCTAGCAATGTTTTAGACTCGATGAGATTTAGAGCTTGACATATTTTTAAAACACTTGTCTGTTGTTGAAGACATATGTTAACTTTTATATGTCTTTTTTGTGTGTCACATTGGTTTGATGCATCACTGAATTATAATCCCCTTCCCATTCTATTCATATACACAAAGAAAAAAAGTTAAGCACCCCCTGGTATATTGAATTATTGTATGAATTTCAATATGAATGCAAATATTGATTTTAACAAGAACATTGTTCCATAAAAAAGAGGTGAACATACATGCCATGAGAGACTTGCCAAGATCCGGTAGACCACCCGATACATCGCAGCGTGAAGACAAAGCGTGGTTAGACGAATGCCATTTGCAACTAGTCCTGTTCTAAAAGGACAATGCTTACCTAATAGACGTCTATCAACTAGAACAGTAAGAAACCGGTTGAAATCAGCAAGACTGAAGTCAAGGAGAGTGCGTTTGGCATAATGTTTAGCGTGACGTGGTTGGAATTTGAGGACCTGGCGCAGGATCCATTGGTTGCACGAGAGCCGGTTTCTGCTGCATGTAACAGATGGACGAATGAGAAAAAAGCGACACATACCCAAAGGAACATCCAACCAACTGTTCCTTACGGTAGAGGCTCTGTAATGATATGGGGGTGCATCTCTCATGGTTGCAAGTTGGAATCGGTGACCATACGAAGAAAACTAACAAGTGATCAATACATCAGAGAAGTTCTTCAGCCAGTTGTTAGCCCCCATTTTGACAAACATCCACTAGCTGCATGGCCTGTGTTTATGGATGGCATCGTCAAGTCGCATTGTTCGTGGGCCGCAACTGCCTACCTTCAAGGTTGAAGTCGTGACTTCTCTTCTATGGCCAGACATGAGCCCAGAATCTGATAGAGCATGTTTGGAATATGTTGGGCCGTCTACAGGCAGTCGAACCTCCTCTACAAATTTACATCAATTGGAAGCAGCATTGCACCGAGAATGGCCACAGCTACCACAGCAGGAAATCCGACTACTGACTGATGGGAATTAGTCTGTGATCTCATGACACTGATCGTATCTTTTGTTATTTTAAAAAGATTTTGGGGTGCTTAACTTTTTTCTTTGTGTATTTGAATGTGGCAAACACACTATTCTATTATTAATGAAAACCATTTAAGCACGTTCGAACATATAGTAACTCTTCTTTTTATGTTAGCAAAATTTGAATTGACTACATTTGTACAAAATTGTTGCAAGAAACTTCATTCTAAAATATTTGAAAATTTTAATGATATAACATTGGCTTTAAATAATCAGGTTAATTGCTGGTAAAGCCATCCATTTTATCTTGAATGTCGTCTTGTTTAGACTTTGTAACTACAGTTTGCTACACAGTAAACGAAAGAGTATGTAAATGTGAAATCAGCAATCTACCCATAGATGTGCACTGAATTATTAATTTATTAACTACAGGTTACTACCAGGTAAACGGAAGAGTATGTAAGTGTGAAATCAGCAAGCTACCCATAGATGTGCTTTGAATTATTGATTTATTAACTACAGATTACTACCAAGTAAACGGAAGAGTATGTAAGTGTTAAATCCGCAAGCTACCCATAGATGGACCTTATATTATTAATTTAAAACTGTTCTTCATTTTTACAGGATCCTGAAATGAATGTACTAGTGTTGCCTTTTTTATTTGTATTATGCTCAGGGTAAGAAATTGCTGTCGTGTTACTTGGATTCTGTATGTGTATAATGGAAGATTTATCGTAAAGAAAAAGGTGCAAATAACGAATCAGAGCTGCTATGGTCAATCGTAATGAAAAGTTTTCTCAAAGTTGACAGTCTAAATCGATAGTGATTATTTTAATATATACTTGAGAACTCTTAATGTGTTTTCTTTCTAAACATCAACGGGAGACAAAAACTCTTTTCCCAACTGTTTGCCTCACTGATATCCATTTTCACACGACAGTTAATCGAGCAAATACTCATAATTTGTAATTTAAGTGTTCATCTCGAAATGAACAAGAACAAGTCAGCCGTATATTTGATTATTTTGATTATTTTATATATAATTATTGACTGTTTTTTCTATGTTAAGCCAATAAAAACATACAACGTGCGAACAATTTCAGAAGCAACCAATTAACAGAAGCATACATTTTGAAACGCAGCAATTTTAATCAAATAATTAAATTGACCCTCAATGATTGAAATTGGTGCAAGAAACGGTAATATCTGCTTGCATCTACGATGCTTCTGGAAGCCTTGCAATTTTTCTGATGTAATTGCATGTTGCGATGTTGATGATATCAATAAGTCATTGTGCAGTTTACATTAGATACTATCATTGCAAGCAGTGCACATGCTCTGGCTGACTTTTGCAATCCATTTGCACTTTACAAAAACAAGGTTTCTTTTGTTCAAAAATATTAACAACTTTAACTTTTGTTAGTTTGTACAACAGTATTGAAATAAGAAAATATGTTTTTTGTTGTTTGTTGTTGTTTTTTTTTTTTTTTTGGGGGGGGGGGGGGGGATAAAGTTTACCCTTGGTAAAAAAAAGTTTAGAAGCTCTACTTTTACTTGATATCTAGAACAGTCGGTTTTCAGTAGAGTAGATCAAGTTATTCATTTTAATATGTGATTTGAGGGAAATATTATTTTTCTTCATCTAGTGTTAATATTTATACTCTGATTATTTTCCTAAGAAATATATTCCTATTCCTTACCATTACTACAAATTGCCATTAATGCTGTAGTTTTAGTCAGATTTCTAGCGTACATAGGAATATAATAAATAAAACGGTTATGTGTGAAAATAAACGTATTTTCTACATTTATTGATTGTTTACTAGGATATAAAAATAAGGAGATGTGGTATGATTGCCAATGAGATAATTCTCCAAAAGAGACCAAATGACAAAAGAAGTTAACAACTCATGCACTTATCAAATTGTACAATGGTTATCATAAAACAATATTTATTTTGAAATTAATAAAAGAAGTGTACTTCTTTTCAGTTGAAAATTTATATACATATTCAAAATTGTTTGAGAAAGCGGCAATTTTTTGATAAAAATTGGTATGATAAACCTTTGCCCTTCAAATATTCAGTGTAGTAGGAACTTGCATTACTCCGTATCCGATCAGATTCGGTTAATCCTACGATCTGTTCTGCGCTTTATAAATGTTATATGTTGTTCTGATTCATCAATCTTTAAGATTTCTTCCGAAAACCTACAATTGTTACACTATGTCACGAACAATCCCTTATGTGGCTACGACGAACGCTATAAATACTCCAGTTGGCGCCTATGTGACTTCTTGAGGTTTCGGTGGAAGTTGGAATGTACCTTAGGGTAGGGAAGTGTGATGAAAGTGTCTGAAACTCGTTAAAGTTACTTGTAGAGTAAAACACAAGAGGCCACAAAGACTGAATCGCTCATCTTTTAAAACATATCTGGCATTTATGAAAATGTTTTAGGTTTAAAGATTCTAACTATCCAGCATTCATTATAGTTTTAGAGAGATAAGGCTAAAACTCGAACATAAGTCAAAAATCATCATTTCAGGGCAAAAGTCAGGACAAACTATGGTTTTGATCATATTTGCATTTTTGTAGATCTTTTATTGCTGATCAGTTTGCTGTATATAATTTCGGCCTGTACAGAATTTTAATCCTGGTGAAGGTTTGGTACCATTAAAACGTTTAAACCCGCTGCATTTGTTTGCACCTGTCCTAAGTCAGGAATCTGATGTTCAGTAGTTGTCGTTTGTTGATGTGGTTCATAAGTGTTTCTCGTTTCTTATATAGATTAGACCGTTGGTTTTCCCGTTTGAATGGTTTTACACTATTAATTTTTTGGAACCCTTTATAGCTTACTGTTCTGTGTGAGCCAAGGCTCCGTGTTGAAGACCGTACTGTGACCTATAATGGTTTACTTTTATAAATTTTGACTTGGATGGAGAGTTGTCTCATTGGCACTCATACCACATCTTCTTATATCTATATACATGATGAATTTATTTACAACCACTGGATCGATGCCACTGGATTTTCTAGCCCAGGAATAAATTACTTTAGTTTCATTTGGCAAAACTTTTCTGAACTTTGGATCCTAAATGCTCTCCAACTTCGTACATTTTTGGACTTTTTAACTTTTTTGATTCGAGCGTCAGTGATCGAGTCTTTTGTAGACGAAACGCGCGTCTGACGCACAAAATTTTAATATTGGTATCTATGATGAGTTTATTTACAACAACTGGGTCGATACCACTGCTGGTGGAGGTTTCCTTCCGAGAGTAGCACCAGGCCAGTAGTCAACACTTCTGTGTTGACATGAATTATCATTGATATGGTCATAATAATAAATTAACTGTTTACAAAATTTTGAATTCTTCGAAACACTAAGCATTTTCTACCCCAGGAATAGATTACTTAGCTATAATTTGCCAAACCATAATGGAATTTTGGGTCACATATGCTCTTCAACTTCATACTTTATTTTGCCTTTTTAACTTTTTTGATTCGAACGTCACTGACGAGTCTTCTGTAAACAAAATGCGCGTCTGGCGTACAAAATTTTAATCCTGGTATTTATGATGAGTTTATTTACTATTTTTGAGATATTAGGCAAACCTCAAAAATTAGTCAAAATTTTCATTTTTAAAGGGGTATTGTACGGTTTATAGTATGGTAATGTTGAGCGGATGGGCGGGCGTGAAAAAGTAGGTACCTAATTTGAATAATAAGCTCCTACAGTTTTCAACTCAGAACCCTGAAACTTCACAAGAAGATTGCACATATGTTGAAAGTAATGCTACTGCTATTTTGAAATTGTTTGCTGAATTAATTTCCATTTTTTCAGACATTGAAACTTAGTCAGTCATTTTCAGCAAAGGTTATGAAAGATTGTACAAGTTTTCAGCTATGATCTATATGTCTACACAGAAAGATTGAACACATGTTGAAGTTATGCACCTGCTATTATTGAATTGTTTCAAGAAATATTTCACATTTTTCCGGACTTTAGAACTTAGTTATTTTCCAGCAAAATTTACAAACTTCATGTTATTTGCCTCTACATTGTAAACATTCTAAATTGATTAGGCACAAATATTGCAAAACTAAGACATATGCTTTATCTTACCAATAAGAAATTACACTTAACTGCGAGAAGCTATAATTTTGTATTATGATTGACATTTTAGTTATCACATGGATTTATTTATCATTATAAGTAAGATTGAGAACAGTATATGCGTCCACGCGATGCTTCTTACTTCACTGTATTAAACCATACTCTTAAAATAAATAAAGCGAAAAAGACAATTTTTTAAGCTTTTAAATATATTTATATGTCACTTATGTCTGAGAGAAAAAAGTACATCAAGAAAGTACTATTGACAAAAAATGTTAGGAGGCTTATGTTTTGCATTTTAATCGAACACCATTCCAAAGTTTGATAAATGAAGTCTGTTTTATACATATTTTGGTAGATTTATTACAAATTTCCTTCCAGCAACTACGTTTTCCTAGCTTGAGTACAATTTCAAAATTAATACTATCGTAACTAAATAGTTTACTGCCATATGTAGACTTTTTTTTTTTAGAATTTTCAGAATATTTATACGGATATTTTGTGCCTCTTCTTTCATTTGAATGTAACCCTTTTTTTAAATACAGATAATTCATATCTAATTCTTTCGGTCTTTTATCAGTAATGTTATTTCTTCCTATTCGTCTATTTGAAATCTGCCTCCTTAATTTACATGTAATAAGTCTTTTAAATAACAGCTAGGACCATTTCCTTTACAGCTTTCCTTCAGTTTATATAGTACCCTTTATTTGTTCGTCACTTAATATCACAATATCAGATCAATATATCGAGGCATTTTCCTTTATGTCATTCTCCAAAACTGATTCTGAGCATGCGTAAGATAATGGCAGCCACATTCCAATACAGGACCACAATTTAGTTTTCACTGTACAAATATCAGTTTCTTTCATCCAATATCGTGTCACATTTAATGAATATGCAATGGATGCGGACTCATCAAAGGCTCAACTACCTTCTATTTTCCATTTCGCTACTTGCTCTTTTTGTTTGGTCAAATATAAGTGTTGTTATATAGTTAATATAGTACCTTATCTCACAATTCATGTATTAACGTATGTGTTTATCATATTGAAATAACAATATCATGTCTGGTTTATATATAAATTCATAAATTAATCATATTTATCCTGTTGTATAACTGCTTTCTTTAAAATTCCAGAAGCAACGAACCAACCATGTTTGTTAGTATATGTGTTCATTGTAAATCTTTCTGATCTAGGTATAGATCCTCTTGGTATGGAGCCTCGATTTCGACCAGAAGATGTCGTGTATTGTGGAGGTCTAAACACCAGTCTTCGTCCCTTCCTGCAACAACTAAGTGCTACTCTAAATTCTTTTCTAAACTTGGCTGAAATAGTATAATAAAAAGTACAACATATTAATAAATGCACTAAAAGATAAACAAACAAAATCATCGGTAAGTGATTTAGTACTACAGAGCACTATGTTATTTATTGTTAATAACAGATGGTTAGGACAAACATTATTTAATTGTAGACTTCCAAACACTCCCATTGTAGTTTATAAGACGCTATTTCTATGACAACCTATTTCATACAATTGATTCATTTGACTGTGAATTGTGCAATAGCCAGTTCAGCAGTGTGTACGTTTCTAAAGCAAATTGGAGTCGTCGTATTATTTTTTCCAATTTATTTTCTTATATCACCATCTAAACTTTTTATTTAACTAATGTCGTTAAGTTGATACCAGACACGATATCATTGTCGGCGATATTGTTTACTAGGTTCTTTTTAACCAAAATAGAATTTATTGGGGGGGGGGATTTGATTTCCGGATAAAAACTTGAAGTTCTGGTGTTGGTTTAAAAATTAAAATCAATGGAGGACCATAAAATTAAAAATAACACTTCATAAGTTGTGGCTTCCGTAGTGCTTTTCCGGATTTTCCTTCATAAGGGACTCTTAAACCCCCAAAATTTGAGAGCCAATAATGTATAAACATTATAAATACTTGAGCACTTGAGGAGCTATTTGGCCAAGAAGAATATAAAAAATAAACGATCATCAGTTTACTTTCCCTGAGGAAGTTGACCAAAAGTCATGGTCACAGCAGCTAAAAATAGGAAGCAAATATAGAAACATGAGGTGCAACTTTTTCGTTTCTTGGTAATCTCGTTAGATTTTTATAAAACATATGACGTGATAGATGAGAGGAAAGGGTTGGCTTATAGGTGAATATGCCATGTTTAACAGCTGAAATTTCATCAGAATCTTGGTTTCCCGATTAACTTCCTTGAAATAGAATAATTTTCATGTTTCAAAAGTGTTAATGAGCAAAGCTTTTTTTGTTTATTTATAGGGCTCAGTAGAAAGTATTTCTAACAATTTTGGTTCCTAGGTTAGTATACTATCAGATTCACTTGTTTTTTTTTTTAAATCTTTAGCAATATTATTGGGTATGTCGGAAACCATCCTTCAATGCCGTTTCGATGACCATCGATTGCCCGTGCAACCTTCTACTTCTCTGTATTATATACACTCCGCCATAAGTTAAGCACAAACCAGTTTAATTTCAATATACTTTTTTTCTTAAAGAATTTTTTCATAAAAGATATACTAGTATTAAAATTTTAAACAACAGATAACTCTTGGATTCAAGTAAACTGTCAATCGATTACATATTGATTGTTCATTACCAGTTTTTAAAATCTGTCTTGTGTGTGTTTCGCGTACTGAAAATTCAAAAATTATTGCGATGTTTTTATTAATGCAAATAATGGTGGGGGTATGACGTTAATACTACACGGAATTTCTTAAGAATGAAATCATAAACTCAGCTACATTCAAGGCCGTACGCTCCACCGAGAGTCATATAGCAAATATTCATGTCACTACCACAGCTCACCTTAAGGCCTCCTCTGAATATATGAATATGTATTGGTTACCTAAACTACACAAACAAACCGTAAAATATCGTTTAATCTAGGCCTCTAGTAAGTGTTCTACTACTAATCTTTCAGTGACTTTTAACGAGTTGCTTAACTATCAAAGAACTTATCGTTAATGTTTGTAATCAAACATGAAAACAGTGGAATTAACCATTTTTGAAGTGTAAAAAATTCTTTGGATGTTGAAGATAAATTACGTGCTTTTGATGGCCTTTTTTATTTGGTTGACAGTTTTTACTTTTCCACTCTTTATACTACACTCTCACACAATCTTATTAAACAAAAGTTATCCTATCTAATTAAATGGTCGTATGATAAATCTGGTTGCAAATTTATTTGCTGCAACTAATATAAAGTCTTTTTCTCTAATGAGAAAAGTAAATATGCTAGATATACTTACTGGAGGTGTGATGAGATGTTTAAAGCACTAAATGTTCTTCTTGACAAGATTTATGTACGTTTCGGCAATAAAGTTTATCGATAGGTTGTAGGTATTCCTATGGGCACCAATTGTGCCCCTTTAATAGCAGACTTGTTCCTTTACTGTTATGAATCACAGTGTATGGCCAAACTCAGTAAAAAACTCTAAATTCAATTTATTGATGAATTCAACAACATTTACCGTTATCTTGAAGACATTTTTTCGTTAAATAATCAAGAATTCTCTAAATATACTGCTGAAATTGACCCAAAGGAACTTACTTTAAACAAATCAATTATTAACAGCAATAACTGTCCTTTCCTAGATTTAGATACTTCAGTATTACACCAGAGACTCTACACAACAATTTACGACAAAAGAGATGATTTTTCTTTCCCTATTGTTAATTTTCCCTTTTTGGACGATAGTGTTCCTTTTGCACCGTCTTACGGTGTTTATTTATCCCAGCTCGTGGATTTCAATGAGCGTAATCTATGTATTACTAGTAAATTATTAAGTCAGGGATTTCGTTATCACAAATTACTTAAAACCTTTACTAAATTCTTCCGTAGATACAAAAATATGGTCTGCAAGTTTGGCTGTCCCTGTAGAAAACTTATTTCAAACGGTATAGCACATCCTTAATGTTACAGTGATGTTGTAAACCGAGCCCCGAAATTTAGATACGTTCCGGGTAAACTTATCAATCCTTTAAATAAATTTATTCTAAAAGGTTACCTATTCAACACTGTAATTAAATCTTTGAATATTGTTTTTATTGGTATAAATATTGATTTTGTTATCAGTAAATTAAAACAATACTAAATATTACACATATTTACTTTACTACAATCTGTCGATACCTATAGTTTGGCATAGCACAAGGTCATGTTTTCCTCTGACTGTTAATGACGTCTTTACACTAATTCCATTGGATGTTGGATGTGTACTGATAGATATTTTAGTGTTAGATACATGATTTTTTTTTATTAGTTGTTATTGGCTTTGAACTAGCTGCCAGTAAATGCGAGTACTCTCAGATCTGTACTTAGTGTCTTTTTGTTGTGGGGATGTATAAGTACCCGTCCACGTCCACTCTGTGTTTTTGTTAGATGTATTTCTATTTGTATCCATCTGATGAGTAAAGCCTTTTTCAACTGATTTTTATAGTTTGTTCTTATGTTGTACTTTTACACCACTGTCCCAGGTTGGCGAGGGTTGAGCGCTCACAAACATGTTTAACGCCGCCACATTCTTTATGTTCCTGTCCAAAGTCAGGAGCCTGTAGGTGTAATACCACCAAATCATAGTACGTCACATCCGGTTGCATACGAAAATAGGTCGAAAAAAAATATTCCCTTGATTTTGACCGTTGTAGGTAATTGATCCTACATTTCATTGCAGTAAAACATTTCTGAGTCATAAACATATATCTTGGGTATTTCAAAGCACCATTATTTCTTTATTTGGGGTTTCTATAGAATATTTTGGAAACTTGAGGTTACATGGTTACTAAGGCTTGTACACAGGTTAGAAAAGGGGGAAAATTTGATTGGTTAACTTCCAGTGATGGTTATTTTCTTATATGCAATGAAATGTTATGTGAAATTTTTTCTATAGTACTGGACAGGATAAAACTTTACTTATGCCAAGTATTTCTTTATTTGAAACACAGATAAATTCTGCACAATTTTATGAAAAGTGCAAATTTAACAAAGACTAATAGGGGAAAATCAATGGTGGTATTACACCTGTAGTTCCGTGGTTGTCGTTGGTTCATGTCTGTCATATTTGTTTTTCGTAAATTGTTTTGTTATAAATTAGGCCGTTAGTTTTCTTAATTGAATTATTTCATATTTTTCATTTCGGGGTCTTTTATAGCCAACCAATGGGTGTTTCTCATTGTTGAAGGCCGCATGGTTGCCTATAATTGATTACATCCACATCATTTGAACTTTGGTGGATAGTTGTCTCATTGGCAATCATACCACATCGCCTTTTTTTATACAAATGATTTTTAGCACGTGGACGTCTACGGGCTCGGAGGCCAATAAAGCCCTCAAAATGAATTTTAAGACATCACGAGCAAGATTAAAATGGCTAAGAACCAAAGCCGATGGACTGTACGCAACTGAATAACAAATCACTGGTCCGATGAAAGTCGTTTCTTGTGGTAGCCCGTCGACGGCAGAACACGTGTTTGGAGGGAAAGAAACACCTTATATCGGGACAATAACATTCTTGATACAACATATTTCGGTGGCAGCGGTGTAACAGTATTGGGATGTTTTCCCATGACTATAAGCTTGATATATGCATGTTATTGACGGTACCCTGAATAGGTTAAGTTTACGGGACGACATCCCGAAAACCAGAGTATCGTCTCATTTTGATAATCACGCGTTAGCTGATAGACCAGTCGTTTAAGACGACGAATTATCAACGCACACCTGAAGTCAGAATCAGACACTTCACCTGGGCCGGCCATGGCACCTGATATGAACCCCATTGAATATGTTAGGGACTTTAACGGTCGTTCTACTGTCTGTATAAAAATATGGGTGGTACTTAACTTAAGGCGGAATGTATATATAGTGTAATTCACGTCTCATTTTTGACAAAAGAGAGATACCTGGGGTGGATTTATCGAAGCTATCTTAGGACTAGGACGTGTCCTAATACCAACTTATGACAAGTCTTTGTCCTAAGTTGTGTTCTCGAAGCTCTCTTAACTTAGGATATATCGCATTTTTCGTCCTAACTACAGGACACATAATTAGGTGTCCTAAGATAATCCTATCTTTATCCTAACTTTAGGACACGTCTCAGACAATAATTTGTAAACAAATATGGCTGCAGCTTATGTGTACATGAGGAGAAGGCACCAGAATATTCGTAGAAATAGACTGCTTAGAGACTACGACAACCCTTTGGACTATTTAGATGACTTTGATATCATACGTAGGTACTGATTGTCGCGTCCAATGATTCTTGATTTGTGCAGAAGATTTGATAATGAATTACACAGACCAACAATGAGGTCCCGTGCATTGCCTGTTTCTTTGCAGATAATGGCAGCACTTCAATTTTTTGCCACAGGGAGTTTTCAGCTTGTAAATGCTGATGTGCATTACATATCTCGATCCAGTGTTTCAAGATGTGTACGAGATGTAACGCAGTGTTTGGTCAATGTATGCAATCAACACATTATTATGCCTACAGATGCAGCTAGTTTAGAAATTATAAAGCGTGATTTCTATGAAATTGCAGACTTTCCTAATGTAGTAGATGCCGTTGATGGAACTCATGTACGGATCAAATCTCCATCAGTAGTTGAGCATATTTTTGTAAATCGCAAAAATTTCCATTCAATTAATGTACAAGGAGTTTGTGACTCTAATTTGAAATTTCTGAACATAGTCTCACAGTGGCCAGGAGCAACCCACGATGCTTTCATTTGGTCTAATTCAACTGTGTATGAATTATTCGAGAATCGAACAATATCAGACGGATGGCTATTTGGGGATACCGGATACCCTGTTAGACCTTGGTTATTGACACCCGTTTTGAACCCCACTACCAGAAAGCAACAAAGTTACAACGGGGCACACATGAGAACAAGAAATGTTGTCGAACGAGGTTTTGGTGTGTTAAAAGCACGTTTCCGCTGTATAGATACTAGTGCTGGAACTTTGTTGTATTCCGCTTTAATGTGTTGTCGCATTGTTGTTGCTGTTGCTGTCCTACACAATTTGTGTATAGATAACAGAATACCTTTACCACCAGACAGAAATGATTTTCCTGACCATGGACACATGGCCGGACCAGCCTATAATGGACCTTTGAACGACGGGGCAATTGTTCGTGAAAGACTGATAAATGGAAGGTTTTGACTGAATTAATAATAAAGTCGTATGATTTAAATAATGAATTCTATGTAGTTTGTCTGTATTGATTGATTGATTATTAATGAAGTATGTAGAGTTGCACCGGAAATTGAGCTTTGAAGTTCAGCTTTGTCATATACAGTTGGTATTTCTGTTCTTTGATGAGAAGGGATTTTCTTTCTATCTCTAGCCTCTGCTTCTCGGTTGCTAGTCTTTCTTTTTCAATTTTTAACAGGTCTTTTTCTACGGCCAATCTTTCCCTTTCTATCTCTACAAGTGATTCTTCTGATGATTCTGTGTGCGGTGATGATTGTGTTCTCGTGAAAATACTGTTATCGTCTCCGGCTGAACTAATGCCACTAATAGAAGGTAAGACTGAAAAGTAAAAAAATGTATCATTCAAAACGTGTTAAAATACATGTGATTGAATATAGATTTCAATGGACAGTTTACATTTTTGAGAACGGTTTGTGAATAATGTTTAACCCCCTATTATTAGTTACACAGTGTGCACTTGTCGTAATACATTAATTTACCTGCACCTCGTTGAAATCTTCAACAATTCCTCTCTTTTTTCAAAGAGGAACATGGTTGATTAATATCTCGCGTCTATCTCGTTCAAGGTTTTGCTGTCATTATCGTAAAGTCCCCATAGCAGACTAAATGTTACATTTTAATGCTAGAACCATATCGAACTTAACCAAGTCGCTCAAACGACCAATCTATTATATTTACTGATAAGTACCGTTGCCACACCAACCAGCATGTCTAGTACATTAGAAATGAACATATACACAAACACTTAACCAAGACTTGGACAGACGCAGTGGCAGATCTAGAATTTTTCATAAGTGGGGGCCCACTGACTGCCTAAGAGGGGGTCCGCCCCGGTCATGCTTCAGTGATTCCCTATATAGTCAATCAAATTTTTCCCAGGAAAGGGGGGGCTCGGCCCCCTCCCCCCCCCCCCCCTTAATCCGCCTCTGAGACGTATTGGCGGACAGACGGACAACGGTAAATCTATTCCGAAATAGATGAATTAGAATAAGAAATAAGAATTAGAAATCTATCCCGTAATAGAGAAACAAAACAAATTGTGACTCGCTTCCCTTTTAATTATATTAGTTATGAATTCATGTACGTTAATATAGAATATGAAAACTGACCTGTTTCGAATGAGGATTCAAACTCCTCTCAGCTCTGATCCATAGCAAACCCGTCAATCGGTGTATCTCCGATGATTCCTACAACCTTGTTTTGAAGTGGAGTCAAACCATCTGGAGGAGGGCCCCCGCCAGTCTTTTTTGCCTCTCGTCTTACAAATGATGCGTGCTTCTTCACAGTACTTGGGCAGGTCGACCATTTCTTTTTTATTTCTTCGGCTGTCCATTTATGGTTCAAGTTACAAGCATTCACCTTACTACAAATGGACTCCCATGATCTTTTTAGCGGCGTTTGTGGATACAGTGCTGTGTTTGCTGAATAAAATGCCCTTCTTGCTCTCCACTTGATCCAAAAAAATGTTTAACTCTGCCTCCGTAAAGTTTGGGTTTCGATTTTTGCTCATTCTGGTACGTGAATATGAACATGAAATGAAACGCACCATCGGTTATAAACTCGTATATATATGAAGAAATTGTGCATGATTTTAAAGTTTGAACTTTATGTTTCACGACACGATGACACTACGAATTCAATTCTCATGTCAAAACGAATTGTTTTCAAGTTTAAATTACAATCCTTTTTGATATAATTTTATAGATTCAGATTCAGATTCAATATTGTATTTGCATTTGAAATCATGCATTTAATTCTATACATGTAATTATAAAATTCGTAAACTATGTTATTAATTGGTTTCGTCATTAATTTTTTTTTTATCAAAAAATTACTTTAAATATTTATATATCACACTTAAGATATGTTTAGGACGTCCTAACATAAGATGCGTCTGAGATATCTTCGAGACACTACGTAAGAGTGTCCTAAGTTGATCCTAAGTCCATCCTAAAATTGGTCTTATCTATGACTTAGGACGAATCTTAGGATACTTTCGAGAACACCACCCTTGCAGTGTAACGCAATAATAATAATAAAAAATACCAAAAAAATTCATAACATTTGCTTGTTTAATACAATGCCTAGGCTATAGTTGTCAGTATCTGAAGCAACATAAAGACTATCTTTGTATACGTAACGTAATTTTAAAAATGTACTCTTAAACTAATTTATGGCGCGTATAGTTTCCAGACAATGACTAACTAAGTTTATCTTCCGATTTAACCAACAACATAGCGAATCAGTTTGATTGTTCTGGCTTGTTACTTTCAACGCTTAAATAATGATATACTTATATCAATACGTATTGCATGGTAAGTGTAAAACAAGAATTTAAATTCCAATAAACGAATTAATATCCTCTACTTCAAAAAGATCGGATGTGTTAATTTCCTTTAGATAAATAAAAACAAAAACAATCGACAACGATATTAGAAAACAGATTAAATGTAGATGTATTCAAATGAAGGCTATAAAAAAGAGTGTACCGAAAGCACTTTTTATGTGTTCGAACTTAAATTCCAATAAACTCTATCGTTCGTTTTATTTCTAGCAATGTTTATCTGTGTAGTAGAGCATACAAGTTTCCCGTCTATTGCAGACAGTCTCGCTGTATTGGATATCATTTTATTAAATGTGGTTCTCAGTTTATCTAATCCATTTTGTATTGCCTATTTTCAACGTAATGGTTTGTACTTGTTGATACATTATCATGATTATATCCTAATTTGACTACAAGAAATTACAAGGAATTTAATCAAATACTTCTTAAGGCTTCATTATTGACACGTTCTAGACATTCGACTGAATAATGCTTCTGCTGATGGTAACAATTACTGATCATCTACAATGTGACAAAAAAGGTATTTAGGAACTTAATTGTGTTAGTACAAAAAATTACTTCTAGCAATTTGCTCGATAAATAGGCCACTGTTATGATTTTTTTGTCCTACAAGCGTTGTTTCTTTATTAAATGTAGAACATGTACAAACATTGGGTTTTCCAGATAATTGCGAAGGTAAATACATTAGAGCAGTAAAAAAGAATATCACAGTGAAAGAATATTGCTCATCTGACTTGAATATAAATAAAAGTAATTTCTTGTTGTCTAATAAAATAAGGCATGGTGCTTTTGCCAGCTTCATGAGTGAGCTTCTTAAATTTTACAGAAAAAAGCAAATGCAGCAGCAAGTCCATTTTAACTCCTTTTTGGCACTTTTCAGTAAAAAGGTGACAACCATTTGAGCCAGGAAAATAAAGTTGAATATATTTTTAATCTCATTTAGAGAAAAAAAAATGAAACAGGAATTCCCAATGAATATTAGAAAATGATATCGGAGGTGTAATTTATGCAACAACAAAAGCGCTGGAATAAAATGAAACAATAAATATGTTTTTTTTTCATTTGCATACTTTGAGCCTTAAGATTGCAATAGAACAGCCTTTTTTTAGGACCACATTTTGAATAAAATTCAAAGAGCGTCAGAGTTTGTATGAATAAAGTACAACTTGTGGTCTGGTAATACAATGATACTTTTGTGACTGTTCTCACAATACAATACGTAATTATCGATTTTAGATACCTGTTAAGATGACGGAAACACAGCTAAATAAGTTAATTTCATGAAACTTAAGTTGAACTACGTTTAAAGTACAATGTAGGTTAAATGTAATATATTCGTATGAGATTTGTATTTTGTCATTAATAAGTTTGTTTTGCTACTATCAACAAGGATGGCTGCACATGGAGTCGAAATTGTCATTCTCATGACATTTCCAAGATGCCATGGCCAGTAGTAGGTAAAAAATTAGGTAAGATTACCAATGTAATATTTGAGGTGCGAATACTGATTTTACAACTTTATACCATATTTCAGCAAAATACTGCAGACGATGTAATCTGAGGTATATTTTAACGACATTCGCATGCAGACAGATAACTTGTAGTCGAATGCCTTCTTTACTGGAATAAATTATTTCTCACCTTGAAATCATGAAAAATGCAGTTATTATTGTTCGAATAGTTTTACATTTTTCATGTCTTTACTCGAATCAAGTTAATAAGGTTTGACTTGTAAAATTACATGTACTTCTTTACCTGTCAAAAGTGTTTGATAATTGGGTTAGAAACCGGGTAAAATATGCACAAAATACCATAACAAAGCAACTGTTATATACTAAGGTAAAGAGACAAACACCAGTCTACACACATTTTTGATATTCAGAAAAGTGCATCGGACGCATTATATATATATGTTGTTTTCATTTGTTCGCATAGATATAATGATAAACAACATGAATCAAAATTCAAGATGAGCTTAGATGCGCTAGAAGGACAGCAGTTCATGTTCCACCAAAGACAACCACCGTGTATTCAGTGAAAAAGCACTATGCAATAACGGATTTGTGAATGTATCTTTTCTATCCCTAAAAAATTACTAAATTTATAAACCATCGATACATATGAAAGTTTGAAATGAAAATACCTCGAGACAAAGGATAAATAACACTGTTAATGGTAAAAACAACACAGACATTGAAACCAATAAAACCCTACAAACTTGAACACACAGCACTAAATTAAAGCAACACGATTCACTTTAAAACACTCAGTAATAAAATGAGAAATGCATTATATTTATAACAAACAAACAAAAATATTGGGAACGACCACCGTAAACTTTCTTTTAAGGAACTTGAACCATAGTTTAAGTCGAAATAACAAACTTAAAATCAACGATAGTTTCTCCTTAAATCGCAAAGACTAACAGTGTTTAGTAATGGCGAAATGCATCTAGTCACCTCTACAAAAGGAGTGATGCAAACTTTTTACGTGTCATGTAAACAACGTGCTAAATAAGCAATCAATTTGTTCACTAATGGATTTTCAAAGGTTTCAAAGTAAAAAACAGCTTTTATTACAAGTTTAATGTCGTATCTCAGTTTTTAATTATCTTGTTTCCAATACTTTTAGAATAATAAATTTATTGGCTGCTAATTGAAATATATTATACATTATCTGAAATAATGATAAAGATTAATATTAGCTTAACCGTTCATTTGCAAAGATCTAGGCAATTTGTTTTGTTTTGGAAATCATCTATGTTCATCAGACCACTGTCTGAATAGCAAACCAAACAAAAAAACAATAAATAACTGTAAAGTGTTTTTTGTATGAATCCTCCAAGATGAATAAACTTTTTGGTGTGTTGCGAATAATTTTAAACGAGTTGAATTCGGTTCTATGCTACTAGAATCGTTTAATAAAAGTTGTATTCTAATTTAAAAAAACGTTTGTAGAAACCATCTAGACAATATAAATTAATAAATGTCTTTTACAGATTTAAAAGAATAATTCAAAAGGCTTTCCAAGAAAATTGTTAAAATCTTCTGGTAATTTAATATCGGAGAATATCTTAAGTTATCCACATTAAAGATTAAACTATTTAGCCCATATCCGTAAAATCCAAATGGAATCAGTGCTTAACGTTGTTTAAGACAGTTTTAACTTAAATAAATATCAAGATATTGACCTTTTTCTTCAATTTTGCATATATTTTGATATAAACCCACATGAATTAGTTCCTATCTGCAAGACAAAACATAACGGTATCTTCAAAAGAATTTTATTGTCTGTGAAGAATGACCTTCTTATTCTTTTTGCGATCATAATAACTCATTTTTTGGAAACGACATTTGATTAGGTGACATATTCATATGCATGTAAATGCCATAATGAAGTCAGAACCTCAAAGTGTGTGAAAATGACCGTGGTGTGAAGTACAGTCTGGGACGATGGCCCTTCCTCTTTTGATTGTGCAATGAATATGAATGAAATTTAAACGTAGCTTTCGAGAAATCAAAAATATTAAAAATTGATCATGTTTCAGCAGTAAAGTATTTATTTACCTTATTAAAACATTTAAGACTATTTAATCGGCTGTATATTCTCGGATTATTTTTTTTCATTTTTGTTATCTATAAATTTAAAGTGGAATCAACTATTATCTCCGCTTTATTTATTGAGTTTTCAATATTGATCAAATATCAGATTTCAACATTGATTTAATATCAGATTTCAACATTGATGCAAAATTTTCAATTAAATATAAAATGCACTTTGATTCATTGATCAAGATAAGCTTTGATTCAATATTTTTTTGCAATCTGGGTAAACAGGAAAACGCTATTTTGGATGTCACATTTATCATGATTACTACTTGCAAGTTAGGCAGATGATGCAATATCCTGAACATCTACAGAAGTGTAACCATGCTTTAAGATCAGAAATCTGAAATACTCGATTGTTCGTCATTAACACTAAAACCTTTTCTGCTTTGAATAACAGTATGATTTCTTTTAATTATAGAATTATAGTTAGAAACAATAGACTATACGGATTCCGCATTCGAACTTGTTAATCTTGATTTAACTTTTATGATTAGATTTTGGGAGGATTCACTCTAAAAGACAAATTAAATGGACAAAATGTTAAAGTCTGATGACAACCTAACATAGGATTTCAAAATGTTGGGAATTTTTTTTTAATAAAGAAGTGAAAGTTACTTATTTCGTTTTTGTTCGTTTTGTATTTCTTTAAAATATAAAGCATGACATATATATTAATTTCAGACATTTATGTATTGGCTATACAGTGTAATGTATGCTTAGAAATTCAGATCATTCGGATCATATTAACTATGTCGATCTAAAAAAAAATAGACTTTTACGAAACGATGATGCAAAAAACGTGCTTGGTTTCAAATTTTTGCTACTGATCATATATCTATAAAACATATATTTCATAACTTACCACTCATAAAATTGTAGATAATCGGATTGACAGCACTGCTGAGATAAACCAATGCATGAGACAGCATTATCATGACATGAACATTTTCATCTGATATCTTATTCACCAGTTCAAATGACCTGAAACGGAAAGATCGCAAAAAATGGTTAATTGCTTCTACTTGTTATCTTTCTTCGAAATAAGATCAAAATTACAAACCAAATAAAGAATAATTGTTGTAACAGAATGAGCACCTTTTGTTATACATAATCTGGATCAAACATTGTTGTCAACATTTTGGCATAATGATGGTCTTACGTATATGTTCATGTGCTATAAACTTTAGCAGCACCTTTCAATAGATATTTCGTAAGTCTACCTGGCAAGATAAAAGTCAGACAAATATATGCAAGGGCATGGTATAAATAACTATTGCTAGGACTACAGGACTTATTTCTTTTTTAGGGTCTTTGTAATCTTTTGGGTATATATTTGGAATAATTCTATACACAACACAACATTTTAAACATATCAAAGTAATATATATGTCGACAAAGAATTTACATGATTACAGGTTTATTTTAAATGCATACTGCCCAGGTAGACCTTAAACCTTTTCAAAATTATAATAAAATATACAAAAAGCATTGTACGTCATTCAATACTAATATAAGACATACACAAAATATATTTGCCAAAATATAGCGAGCGCCTTCAAAGGTTTTTATTACTTACGTAGAAAAAAAAATAATGATATTTATATCGGAACGAACGCGTTAATCCGGAAATTACTGACTGGTGGTTTTAATAATAAAAGAAACGTCATGCAAGATGAAAAATAATATCATTATAGGCAATCTAAGTGATATATGATTTTTAATACCACTGTCTCATCACAAACTTAATCATGAATTTTAATTCAAAGATATGTTGTTACCAATGAAAATGTACAAACAAGTGTTTTATAAATTTAATGACAATAATAATAAATGGCTGGACGAATCTTTGTTCAATATATATAGGAAGATGTGGTATGAGTGCTGCATACTTATCAACTGGCATATCTTTTAGGTTTGAACTATGAATTGTTAAGCCACTGGTCTTCTATTCCAGTGGTTACCGTTGGTTGCTGCTTGCTATAATTGGTTTTCGTTTCATGTTATAAGCTTATCAGGCCGTTGGTTTTTCGTTTTCCATTGTTTCACATTTTGTTATTAAGGGATCTTTTAAAGCTTACACTACTGGTTTTGCTCAATGTTGAAAGTGGGTGACATGTAGTTGTTTTATTAACATACTTTTTTTTTGTTTTTTTTTAGTGGAAAGTTGTCTCATTGGTAAGCATACATCATCATCTCCATTTTTTTTATAATATGCAATAAACCTTCTTTTAAAGACCAAAAAGCATATTGTTTGTACACATTAGCTTACGCAAATTGATTATGACATAATAGTAGGGTGCCCAGTCAACAAATTTGATCGATTTGGGTTAACGGAATAACACACGGCTATATTTTATATCATTGGAAAGAGGAGAACAAGCCTCGTCGAAATATTGATGTTGTCGTAGTCTACAGTGGTCACGATTTTCTTAAATTTGGGTCAAAGGTCAAATCTAAAATATCAAGGAAAACGTAGACTCACGTTTAAACAGCTGGCCACCCCTATATATTTGCGTTTATAGCAAAATAAATTCGAATAATTCAAAGGATTATAACTAAAGTTTCTATATTTAGGACTAATTTGATAATTTTTTTTTTTTTGTACTTATAGGGTGCACATTTACAATTTTCATTCAGCTGTTAAAAACAGTGACCTTGACCTTTTAAAAGTTCCAAAATCGGAATTTTTACATAAGATTCGATACAAGTGATCTTTAGAGATGTTTTTTAGATATTAACATTTATAAGTTGCCCTCCCAAAATGTTATTTTTTCCGTCTTTTGATAGAAGGTGCTCGTCATTATTTTATGGGTAAATATCCAATTTTCTTTTGGTGAACGTGTAAGCACATCAAATAATACTTAGTTTCAAAACTGATGAATATTAACGCAAAATTGATTGAATTAGCAGGTCTGAGTATATATTTGCTTTAAAGAAATAAACAAAACAACCTGCAAACGGTGAAAAAGAGGGAGGGTTTATGTTACAAGTTATGAAAACAAATTGAGAATTAGAAACAGCAGGCTAATCACTCCTATATATCAAGTGTAATGTACATGACTTATCGAACATAAATTGGCCTACAATTGACATGAAGTTAAAGATTATCTACAAAAAGAAATTTTTGTACAGCATCGATGTATTTTACAAACACTTGTTAACAACATCGATTTAATTAAAATATAGATCTCTGATTTCGTTATCCTCATTTGAGCTTATACATAAGAGCACGCGAGTTAATAAATATCATATATAAAGAGCGAAACAACATAGAAAAATTACCGAAGCTAGTAGTAGCTATTACGTTTCATTGTCTGCTGTTAAGTTGAAAGCCCATCGACTATGTTTAGGTAAGAGAGCTAATTTCAGTTGTTCTTTTTAAATCGCATTCGACGTAAGTAGCAGAATGCGAGGCATACATAATACAATCTGATGGTGGTGGCGGCAACACCGTAAACTATTTGTATAGCTTTATATTTCAGAGGGCAGAGGAACTGGATGATTCATACTTTGTATATAGATCCATTGTGTTACGAAGTTTCCGTCATATAATTATTATCCTTGACCTCATATTTAAGTGACTGCTAAAAAATGTATAGCTTTTTTCGTCAAGTGAATGACTCAATTATCACGAGTTCTAGGATAACTATATTTGGTTACTAATATATGGTATCCTTGCAAGGTCTACATGATCGTCAGACATGATTCACCTGACCTCGACCTAATTTCACGGATCAGTGAATAAGGTTAAGTTTCAGTGGTCAAGTCCGTACAGTCTCAGATAGTAGTGGGTTAAATATAGTTGGTGTATGGAATGGTAACAAGGTGAACGTGATTTTGTGGCAGAGTTCATCTGACCTTACCTCATTTACATGGAACATTGATAGTGTTAATTTTATATAATACTTGTTGTATAATATAAAAATTAGGAGATGTGGAAGCAAGCAAATATAGGCAACCGTACAGCCTTCGCCAATGTGAAAAACTCATACCGTATGGTCGGCTATAAAAAGGCCAGTTATGAAAAAAATGAAAGAATTCATATGAAAAAAATACTGACGGCCTGATTTATAACAAAAGATAGTTTTTACGGTAATGATGTTTATGATCATACTTTTCTCAGACTATTGATGACGTCCTTTCATTAGTTTTCAGTAAGGGAACACCCATTTAATTTCGAAAACAGGGAGGGAATGAGGATTTTGAAAATGAATTACTTGGCCTGGTATGAACTGAAATAATTGACTTTGCAAAAGACATGATGAGAATGAACACTCTTCAACATGAAATGCAGGATAGTTGAGGATATGAATGTGTACAAAAGTGAAAATAAATTTTTCGCGCCGCCAGCCCCATCCCTTTCTTCAGAATATAAAATGTTCTACCCTAACAGCGAGTACTATTATATCGGTACTTTGTGTTTTTTGTCTTCATGTTAGTTGTTTTTGTGCTTCATGCCGATTTGATAAGTCAAGCCATTTCAAACTGTTTTCAGCAGATTTTTCTTATGCTGTGTTGTTATACCATTGTCCAGGTCAGGGGAGGGTTGAAGGATCACAAACATGTTTAACCCCTCTAAATTCTGTATATGTCTGTCCAAAATCAGGAGCCTGCAATTAAGTGGTTGTCGTTGGTTGCTGTCTGTTGTATCCGGTTTTTTTGTTGTTGCACGAACGGTGGTATATTTTTGTTGTCGTTCCCAACGAGAGGGATTTAGGTCGAAAACATCATACAAAACTTTTGATGTGACATTTTCCGGGTGTGAAACAAAACCGACCGATTTGATTCTTTTACTACAATTATAACAAAATATTTATTCAATAAAAAGTTTAAAGTTTTGAAAAACAGACACAAAACAGATTTCTCCGAACAAAGTGACACTCTATAGAGTTAGCTGGCTATTCACAACAAATAAATCAACCACACAACAAGCAAAAAAGACAAATGTTTTGAGTGACCTCTGTCCTTGTTAATGACCTAATGATTAATGGCACGAGACAATCCGTGTTTAATCAATACCAAAATGTTGACTTAATTTGTGTTTTTAATTACTAATTTCTTCAAAACTATTTTTATTTCACGCGTGTAATTTGGCACACACATGTTCTGTGTTTTATTGCTTAAATCAGAGTAAAAAATATTGTGATGATACATGTTATAATTTTGCTTTCGATGAAAATAGGGTAAATTTCGGGTAAAATTTTACTCTTACTAAAATGCTGAAATACTTATGTCAAAATCACTTAAATACTTTACGATTTCGTTATATGATATATCTAATATATAAACTATATTATAGGTACTGTTTTAACTACCAACAAAGAACGCAATAATTTTATTTGTCATGTTAAAGATTCCCTGTACAATACGGTATCTGGTGGTACCCTGTAAAAACACGAAATTTAGAAAATCGTGACCCGGGAACTTACGACGACAATCATGATTGTAAAATATAATGATTTTCCTATAATGTGCAAAAACATCAGCCGTGTGTTATCCGTTAACTTAAACTCGTTAACTAGAGGACTTTTTGGACATTGGGAACCCTACTATAAACTCTGTGATGTTGTTTCTAGCTCGATAAAAAGCGGCAGGTTTGAACGTCCCATTTCGCGTATATCACGGATTCGAATACGATGTACGCGTCACAAAAGGTTTTTCTCCATGTTTTCAGGATGTATATCATTGGAACAATATAGACTGGGCTAAACATTATTTACATAGTACAGAAGTCGGAAAAAGTGACACCGGACATGTGAATGTTTAAAGAATAACCACATTACTTTGATATTCTGTTTTGTCATTTGCATGTTTTCTGCATTAACGCAAAATAAATACATAAACGAGAATCAATGGTAAACTGTTGATTCTGGATTACTAATTCATGAGCTCCACCGTGTGCGGACGAATATTTAGGAATGATTTTGCCGTAAATTTTAATGCAAAATGCATTTTTTTTTGTGTCCAAATACTGTTTATTT